TTCCCTCCCCTCCCCTCCCACCCTTGGCAACCAACAAAGAAAGTTTCCCTCCATACATAAACCTTTCCTTGATCCTCCATAACATGAACTATATTTGTCCTTCTGTGATTGACTTATTTCACTCAGCATAATGTCCTCCAAGTTCATCCATATTATGTAGGGTTTTCCAGACTCTACATTATCCTTTAGTGCTGCATAGCATATTGCATTATGTGTATGTACCATAGTTTGGTCACCTACTCTTCTGCTGATGGGCACGTAGGTTGTTTCCATCTTTTTGCTCTTGTAAATAGTGCTGCGATGAACATGAGTGTGCATGCATCTGTTCTTGTCTTGGCTCTCACCTCTCTAGGATATACACCTACTAATGGGATTGCTGGTAAAACAGTATCTCCAATTCCAGCTTTCTAAGGAATTGCCATAGAATTGCCATATTGCTTTCCATAGTGGTTGTATCACTTCACAGTCCCATCAGCAGTGTATGAGAGTCCCAATCTCTCCACATCCCCACCAGCATTTGTTATTTTCTGTCTCGTTGAACCTTGCCATCAGTGCTAGGTTGAGACGGTATCTCACTGTTGTCTTGATTTGCATCTCTCTCATGGCCAATGATTGTGAGCATCTCATCATGTATTTGTTGGCCACCTGAAAATCCTCCTTGGTGAAGTGTCTATTCATGTCTTCTGACCATTTTTCAATTATATCTTTAATTCCTTTGGTGTTGAGGCTTTGGAGTTTTCTATAAATCTTAGAGCTAAGTTCCTTGCCAGATATGTAATTATTGGCAAATATGAATTTGTTGCTGTCATTTTGGTTACGTGCTTTCTCATGGTGTTGATTTCTTTGTTCTATGTAATTTTCTATGTTGAGCTCATTTTGTTTATGATTTGTGTTATCACTTTCTTTGTTGCTGTTGTTTTAGTATTTGCTAAATATTTGTGTTGGTCCTCTTTTTTATTTTGATATGAAGGTTTATAATTTTTCTTTGAGGTTACCCTGTGATTTATAGTTTTCTTCCCAAGTTTAGAATAGTCCATTCTATCTTGTAGTTGTCTTGACATCCCCACCATTTGGAAGTTCTATAATGACACAGTTGTTTTCCCTCTTTTAGGTTTGTAGTTATCCTCATTTGTCAACTGATGTCTCTGGTTCCCTGTTTACAATCTTGTAGACTTATTTACTTTGAATACTTCCACAGCTGGGTTGGTTTCTGGATTATGTCATTATGTGTGTCAATGATCAGTTGTTGCTGGCTGTTGTTGCTTCTCTGTCCAAAGGACTCCCTTTAGCATCTCTTGTAAGGTTGGTCTGGGTTTAACAAATTCCCTTACTTTCTGCTTATCTGGAAATGTCTTAATTTCACCATCATATTTGAGGACAATTTTGCTGGGTACATAATTCTTGGTTTGAAATTTTTCTCTTTCAGTTTTATATATACCATCCCATTGTCTTCTCACATGCATGGTTTCTGCTGAGAAATCTGAGTTTAGTCTTATTGGTTGCCCCTTGTAAGTAACTTTTCATTTTCCCTTGCTGCTCTCATGATTCTTTCCTTGTCTTTGGTTTTGATGAGTTTGATGATGATATGTCTTGGTGATTTTCTTCTGGGGTCTATCCTGTTTGGGGTTCATTGGACTTCCTGAATGGATATATTCTCATCTTTCATCATACCAGGAAAATTCTCTTCCAACAAATCTTCAAGAATTTTCTCTGTGGTTTTGTCTGTCTCTTCCTGTCTGAAATTCTGATTATATGTATATTATCCCTTTTGATGGTATCCCACATGAACCATAGGCTTTCTTCATTTTGTTTTGATCTTTTTTCTGATCTATCCCTTTCCAAAGAAGTGTTCAGATTTTTGCCCTCAATCTCCCTAATTCTGTCTTCCATTGATTCATTTCTGCTCTTTTGCCCATTCAATGTGTTATCTCTTTCTGAAAATTTAGTATTAATCTTCTGGATTTCTGTGCGTAGATTTTGTCTCATTTCTAATTTTTCATTTATTTTGTCATTTTGTTCTTGTATTGTCTTTTGAAATTGTTGTAGGGTCTTCTCTGTGTTTTCCTCAATTTTGTCAGTGTTTTCCTTGATCTGTCTCTCAGTTCATTGAAGATACCTATATATAATTATTTTTAATTCCTTATCAGGGAGTTCCAATGCTGCGTCTTCCTCAGGGATGTGTTTTGGGTCTGTATCCTGGTCCCTTGTTTCTCCTGCTTTATTTTGCTTCTTTGTGTGGACTGTGATGCTCTGCTGTCTCTGAGGCATTGTGACATTTTTGTATTTATATTTAATTGGTGATTGTATGTTGGAGTGACTTGCTCATGATTTTCATTTTCTTTGTTTTGTTTATATGTTATCTATGCAAGTAGGGTACTGTGCTGTGCTCCTCTATTCACTAGCTGACAGCACTTGTACACTCATCACCTGTCTCCTTTCCTGTTGTTGGCCTCTTGTATGTCCCTGGTGACCTTGGCAAACAGACCTATTCTTCTTCCAAGTGAACTCATGTTCATTTGGAAAAATACAATAATTTTGTGGCCTCCTACCAGCCAGATATATGTTACAGCCCTAAGGAAAACTCTAACCCTCACCCAGTGAATGACCATCCTAAGAAAGTAAGTAACATGATCCAGGGCTTAAGGAAGGAGAATACAGGGAGGCCCCGGGTTATGAACATCTTACGCAGGTACAATAGCAGTTAGGAACCAACCCTGTAAAGCCTGTTATATTAAAAGTTCAAGGTATACACAATGGTTCACAATAACAAACAGGTGCCACATTGTGCCACACATCAAAACATTATTATTGTATTATTTTGTTATAGATGTTTCAGTGCATGTGTATTTGTTTAAGATTTCTTATGCACAGAGAGGTATGTGGTTGTTGTTGTTAGGTGCCATCAAGTCAGCTTTGACTCGTAGCAACCCTACTAAGTACAACAGTACAGGAAGGTAGAGTGTCTAGCAGACACTAAGACAAAGATTTGACTGAGTTAGATACAAAACCTATCTAACTGTTTGGCTTATGTACAAATTTGACTTAAAGACAGACTTAGGAATGGAACTCATTTCTAATGCAGGGTCTGCCTGCACAGTGAAACCTGTGAAAGCCATAACCTGTGAAAGGTGGAAACCTGTCAGAGCAGGGAAACGAAAATATTTTCTACGCCTAGAGAGCAATAGAAAAACTTGTGAGACCCGGGAAAACAAAGCAGTCTCATGGAGTTCTGGCTCTCAAGGTTTCATGGTATAATATTTCTGGTGGGGAAAAAAGAGAATCCCTACATTTTTATACTGCCTTTGCTTTATATAAATCTTTACCTGAGACAGACTGGAAATACTGCACAGTCCAGGCGATCGACACAGACAGCAGGAAGGTGCCCAGAAAGTAGATCTGAAAATATCCGAAGCATGCATCAGATGACTGGCAAAGGGCAGCGGCCACGAGGGCAGGGCTGGGGGGAGACGGTACCTACCAGGGCAGAGTGCAGGAGGGCGCCCCAGATAAGCCGCAAGTGAAGGTAAAGCCAGGCAAGGGAGCAGGGGCTGAATGACTCCTCGCTACCGTGGCTCCAGCACCTTCAAAGAAAGTACACGGCATGTTGATGTTTCAGCTACATGGGATGGTGTTACTCATGACTGACGTTTTCAGGTTCTCAAACCCATATTCTTCGGCTTTTGGACAAGAGAACATACTTGAGATAAGAACCAAAGAAACAGAACCAGTTCTAAGTGGTTTGGACCTGAGCTGAAATCCTAGGATCTTGGCAGAAATCTCAGAAGCTCAGTGTTCCCTTAACTAGAAGTTTGGGTGGTGCAAGCAGATTGCTATCATCTGCTAACTTAAAGGTTGGCGGTTCTAACCCACTCATCCTCTCCATGGAAGAAAACCCTGTCGAACTGCTTCCATAAAGATTGAAAGAATAAATAAAAGCCAAACTTGTCATTAAGTTGATTGTGACCCATAGTGACCTTATAGGACAGAGTAGAACTGTCCCATAGGATTTTCAAGGCAGAATCTTTACAGAAGCGGACTGCCACATCTTTCTCCCATGGAGCTGCTGGTGGGTTGAACCATTGACCTTTCAGTTAGCAGGCCAGTGCTTAACCACTGTGGCATCAGGGCTCCTCTCTGAAAAGATCGCAGTTAAAGAAAACCCTGATGAGTAGTTCTACTGTGTAACACACAGGGGCGCCATGAGTCGGCACTGACTCCATGGCAACAGGTTTTAATTTTTTTCCTAATCTAAAAGAAGACAACAGTCCTGACACACAGCACGACATGAATGAAGCTTGAAGAGGTTATGCTGAGTGAAATAAGTCCATCTTCACAAAAGGACAAATACCGTATGACCTCATTAATATGAAATATGGACAACAGGTAAATAAATATATGGAGATCAGAGTCTGATAGTGGTTCCTGGGGTGGGAAGAAAGGGGAAAGAGGGAATTACTGCTTAAGAAGCATTGAGTTTCTATTTATGGTGACAGAAAATGTGTCAATGGATGTTGGTGATGGTGACACAGCCTGATTGATTGATAACGACTGGTTTCAGTGAATTGTGTACGTGAAAAACACTGAATTGTCCGATGTGTGTTATCTATATTTTTACAACACAATAAAAACAATAATAAAAATTAATAGGTCAAACAGGACCCCAGGAAGCATGGGACTGCCAGAGCAGTATTTCTGTCCCAGTGTCTGTCCAAAGTCCAGACATAAGATACCTCCCTCTCGTTCAGAAAAGCTTAGCCTAATCAGACACGTTATTTTTTCCACTCTTGTGGAAAAACCTGGTCAGCACTTTAACTTCAGATCAAGCACATTGTATCTATATCAGATATCAGAAAAAGGAAATAAATTTGGGTCTGGCTGAATGTTCTTAGATAGAAGAAAATTCTACAGTTGTTTTTTTTTTTTTTTCCCCTATACCAACTGACATTACAAAATAAGGGTAAGGTTAACTTTAACCAACAAGCATATATCACGTTCTTGGATTCCCTAAGATTCCACATTCCAGGAGGCTGTGAACTTACCTTTCGTACAGTTCCTGGAGGATGGAAAAATTGCTAGAATGGATGGTGGGGTCAATTTCCAAGAAATCCAAAATATGGTGTGGGATTATAGCACCTTCCTCAATGAGCAGGGCCAGGTTAAAAAATCCCTGAAATCAAGCCACAAAACAAACTCATTAACTCCTCATCATAAAACCCAGACACACACCCTTCATCCATTGTAAACTTTTACAACCTCTATTTTTTTTTTCAGTCCCTAGAGCCAGATGGTTTTGTCATCTTTATTGATGAATTGTTTCCCTAAATCCATGCATCTGAGAAATTTATTTGCAGCAGAACCAGAAAGCTTTCAGAGGACGCAGGGTCCCATCTGCTCAGAAACCAGTGAACCGGGGCTCTGTCCTTTCCTGCTCACTCTCAAAGCAGAACTCGCTGGAAAGCATGTCCCTGGTATCATCAACAAACCTGCATAGCAAAGCAAGGCAATGCCATCACTCACAGCCCATGCTCTAAGTCACCAACAGCATGCCAGAGACCTGACTCAACATTTTTGTAGTTAGGGGTGGGTGGACATACTAATATAGTATCTCCCTTATGTGGAGCTCTGGTGGCATAGGGCCTAAGGCAGTGAGTTTGGTTTGTTTTTGGTTTTATGTACATATAGGCACTACTCTCAGCTTCTCTATGGCCAGTGCGGAAAACCTCCCCTTCATGATCAATCTCTTGGCAAAGATTTCCACTCCAGTATGTTTCCTTACCACCACTAGTCTGTCAGTTTGTCATACTGTGGTGGCTTGTGTGTTGCTATGAACCTGGAAGCTATGCCACCAGTATTTCAAATACCAGCAGAGTCACCTATGATGGACAGGTTTCAGAAGAGCTTCCAGACTAAGACAGACCGGGAAGAAAGAAGGGGCCACCCACTTCTCAAAGAAGTGGCCAGTGAAAACCTTATGAATGGCACTGGAACACTGATATGGTGCCAGAAGATGAGCTAGATTGGAAAATACTGAAAATACAACTGGGGAAGAGCTGCCTCCTCAAAGTAGAGTTGACCTTGATGACACGGATGAAGTAAAGCTTTCAAGACCTTCATTTGCTAATGTGGCATGACTCAAAATGGGAAGTAGCAGCTGCAAACATCCATTAATAATCAGAATGTGGCACGCACAAAGTATGAATCTAGGAAAATTAGAAGTCGTCAACATTGAAATGGAATGCATAAAGACTGATATCCTAGGCATTAATGAGCTGAAATGCACTGGCTTTGGCCATTCTGAATCAGATAACCACATGATGTACTATGCTGGGAATGACAAATCGAAGAAGAATGGCATGGACTCCAATCTTCAACCTTTAGGTTAGCAGCTCAGTGCACTACTTGAACCATCCAGATAATGGCTTCATAGTTTACATTATAGGGGAACATCTGCATGTGAGCTAAGACTGGAAGGGAATTTGATGACATGAAGGAATAAAAACCTCTGTCATGGAATGATTACGGTGGGTATATTCTTTTTTTCTCTTAAAAGTGTGTTTTAACATTATTACATTATAATAATACAAAATATAAAAATCAGAATTGAAAAAGAAATGAATGGTCTAGGGTTAATTCTGAAAGACAGTCGATATCCTCTATTAGAGTCTGGATCTGCAGCAAATCTCTTTAGCACCGACTCCTCCTTTGCTCCAGAAGAAAGGATACTGGATCACATCAATTAAGTGTACTGGCACTGAGCTCAGCTGTTCCATCAGGCATCTCATTTTATTCTCATAACCAACGAGGTTGATGCTATTATGATCCCCAGTTTATAGATGAGAAAACTGAGACTTGAGATGACTTGCCACTGCACCAACAGCTATGAAATGGAAGGGATGCAGGACACTAACCCAGGTAAACACACACTCTGAGGTACCTCCTTAAATAAAAAAATAAAAAAAAACTGAGGTAGGGATGAGCTTCAAATTTGCCTCATGATCTGACCCCCAATTACAACACCAGAAACCATTGTGTAAGAGGGTCAACCATTCCACCTTCCATCATGAAAATGACCCCGAGACCCTCATGGGAGAATTCCAAGTAATAAATGGAGGTGCAATGGAGCACCAGTAGGTTCTAAGAGTAATAACTGTTACAGGCAAGATCTCTAGAAGGATACTGATATTACCAGGCAAGTACTGGAGGAGAAACAGGATAAAGTCATGGTCACAAAATGTCTCCCTAAGATGTTGGTAAAATACAAGGAGAAAACACCCACTTTACAGTGGGAAAACCTGACAGAAACCACCTTAACCAAGTGATTGAGGTCAACCTTATCAGTAATAAAGCATATTGACATCATGTGCCCCAAAATGATACACTGAGAAAGATACATCCCTTTTGTGCTATTCTTCCCCAAAATGCATAACCTCAATCTACTCATAAGAGAACAGCACACAGACCTGGATTGAGGGACACCCTACAGACTTCCTGACCAGTCTTCTTCTAAAGTATCAAGGTCACAAAAGACAAGAAAAGAATGACAAACTGTCACAGATTGGAAGGGACTAAGGAAATAGGAAAACTAAACATGATATCTTGGAACAGAAAAGGACACTAGTAGAAGAACTAGTGAAATCTGGAAATAGTCTGATAGCTCCAATGTTAATTTCTTAGTTTGATAAAATGGTGTTGTGTTTATGTAAGATATTTAACATTAGGGGAAGCTTGATAAAGGGTATGAGGAATTCTCTGTGCTATTTTTGTAACTTGTCTATGAATCTACTATTATTTCAAATAAAAAAGTTTAAAAACAATCACTAAGAAAAATGTTGTCATTGACATATTGGCCCAACTGTACAAGCAAACCACTTCCTACTGTGACCACATTTCTCGAGTTTCCATCTGGTGAGTTAGTTTAATGCAAACTGATATAAAGACCCACGGGCTTGGGCCAGAAGGTCCAGCTTCAGGCTCTGCCTGTTTCCCTTACTGATCGTTTGGCATTGAGCATCACCTTGTCCTGGTCTTGATTTCCTCGACTATAAAACATGTAGTCATTCCCAATAGGAACAGCCTGTGGAGCCCAGGAAGGACTCCATAAAGGCTGGGCAGTATGGTCAGTGGTTTTATAGCGTGGTTGTGAAGGTCATGTGACAGTGGAAATGACTCTGTAAACTGTGAAACGTGCAGATGGGAGGGCTTGTTGGGACCCTGCAACCTCACCAGGAGCCACGGTGTTGTTACTGTTGCTTTTTACCTGGGAGTCTCCATCCAATGCTGCTTGGGCATACATCTGCACAGACAACTCTAGGTCTTGTGACTGGTTTTGATGGCCATAGTAGTAAAGGTCTCCCATTTTCAAATACGCTGCAGAAGAAAAAGCACAGGCTATCTGTCACATGGTTTTATCAGCCCAACAGTTTAGATTAGAGGCCCATTCACATGACTGAAAGTTTTTCCTACCAGTTTCTAAACACAGACCATTTTTGTTTTCCTTGTGCATCAGGAGAGAAAGAGTGTGTGTGTGAGAGAGTGAGAGAGAGGCTTCTACCCTGAGCACCCCTACTTGTACACATCTTCGAGTTTTGCTGGGTAGCTCTCCTAACTGGGTCTGTTGATGAGGATCTCAGCCCAATCAGCCAAGGTTATTTATGGCCCTTTTTTTCACATCTGAAATTCTGCTGACCACCTTTGATGTCTCTGGTGGGTATTTCTTTACTCTGAGCCATCTATTTAATTTTTCCCCTGAGGAAAGACTTATGCTCAAGGGTATTTATCAGTCAAGGTTTCAGGCATCTCTGGGTGGTACAAGGTTGGTGCACTCTGTCGCTGACTGAAACATTGGTGGTTCAAGTCCACCCAGAGCTGTCTCAGAATGGCCTAGCAATCTACTTCTCTAAAAATCAGCCACTGAAAACCCCATGGAGCATAGTTTTACTCTGACACACACGGCATGCTATGAGTCAGAAGTGACTCAACGGCAACTGGTTTACGGCTATTGGTCAACGTCCAATCAGAAAAATAGAATCCATGTTCCAAGAGGAAGCTTAACATGGGGAAAGGGTTACCAGGGTGTCCCAAGAGCTGAAAAGGCAAATGAAACACAGCAGGCCACCCAGAGATGGGCAATACAGGAAGCCACTACTACCCTTAGGGCTGTGGGGAGGGCGGGGTAGAGTCTAGTCATGATGCCACCAGAGCAAGGAGCCTGGCGGAAGCAGGACCAAAGAAGGCGGGGCTGCCAGGCAGGGCTGGAGCTACTCTTCTCCCATCTTGCAATGTCCCAGAAACTAAGCAGAAGCCCCATGTGCAGGGAAGTCTGGGAAATGTAGTTCATCCGGGTCAGCCCCTTCCCATACAAAGCAGAACAGAGGAAGGAAAGGAATCAATCTGAAGGAAAAAAGGCACAGGACTGGTCCAGGAAATGCCTCCACAATACCTTTCTTTTGAATTCTCATTGATTTGGAGAAATGTGGGGTCCAAGCATAGGACAAATGGCGAGAAGTGCACTGTGTGAGGCTGAGGGCAGAGTTGTCACCATGATTTTAATAGTAGAGATTTTTCACTCCCCTTCCTAATTGTTGAGAAATATCACATTTCACACAAAGCTGTTAGATACTTCCTGTTCTCAAACACTGAAAGCCTCCCATGGTTCAATTAGCGCTAGTTTTCTTATACATACCGAATGAAGGAGCATCGATTTGAAAAACGGAGAAATTATAGTATCTCCAAACACAATTAACAGCCAAGTATCTCTCAGCCAGGTCCTAAGGGGGCGAAAGGAGGAGAAAAAGGTAATTCATTAATATTTCAGCCAAGTGACGATCTTTCTCTCCATGAAACTCAATTACCCTTAACCTTAGAGCGCCTACTCGGAGAAATTATACATTTACTTACTGGCCTCTCCTCACAGATGTGTGCTAAATTTGTCTGTGACACTTCAATTCCAGTTTCTGCTGCTAAAACATAATACAGCAAAGCTTCATGCCTAAAAATAGATGATTAATAATAAATTTCAGATAGTGGCTCTTACTAATGTTCACAGAGAGCATTATATTCAAACACAGGAAGGCACAAAATAAGCAGTTTAAAAAAAACCTACAAAATCATGGATTTTTTAAAAAAATAAATAAATACTGTTGTAAAAATACTGCAGGCATGGATTTATTTTCTATTTTAAAGGCTGAACTCACAGATAAGGCTGGGGAGCCAGTTGATGCAACAGCTACCTCTACTGGCTGAATGGTGTGTAGCAGGCTGGCTGCGAGGTGGTTATTAGTACTTTGCTCTTTGAATCCTTCCACCCTTCCTTAGAAGGGGATAAGTGGTATTAACAAAATCACCTCGTGCTCTGGAGCCCTGTGTTTTGTGAAAGGCTTTCTGGGGCTTAGGATTCTGAACCAGCTTATGGTAATTAACAAAGAGCTGTTGGAGTACATTAGAAGTTTGGCAGAGGAGAGGCAGTTTATAAGGGGTTAGATACAAACGGCTCAAAAACATGACAAAAAAAAAAAAAGTTTGACTTTTATTTATTTATGAACAAAATAAATGTCCAACAACAATAGTAACAGTTCCAAAACAATGGGAGATCACTTTTCATCTGTTGAAAGACTGGCAAAAGATTGATAAAAGGGGAGTATTGGCAAGGGTTTGGAGAGATGGCCCAGCTCCTACAAGCATTGCTAGAGGGAGAGTCAATCAACACAGTGGTTCTGGAGGACAATGTGGTTGCAGGAATGTCACAGTCCGACCCTGCACAGACTACTTGGGCCAACAATTCTCTCCTGCAGGGGTTTCTGACCAAGAAGCAATGAGAGACATGTGCAACATTCTGCTGCCAAGGAGTTCATGGTAAAACCGTGCCTATGAACGAAAGACTAGAAACAAATTTAATATCTGAAAATCAGTGACTAGTTAAATTATCCCGTGGTGCAGCCACTTTCAGATGTGACCATTAAAATGATGTTGTGGAAGAGTATTCAAAAACATACAAAAATATTTATGCAGAATGTTCCATTCAATGGAGAAAAAGAAAAAAAGCAGGTTACAAAACAATGCAATCCTGTTTTTGTAAAACAAATATAAAACAGAATACACACAAAAACACACACAGATAATGTACACAGAGAAAGCAACTCGACAAACTATTTACCAAAATGCTAACAGTGTTTGTCTCTGGTTGGTGGGAATGTAAGTTATTTTTTTTCTTCTTCTTTACCCTTCTGATCTCTTATATTTTTTGTGTCACCCAGTTTATGGGTAAAAATTGATTCTTAACTGTAAATAGTTGTTTCGAAAGCTTATTTTTCATTTTAAGTAGTTGCTTTTAATAATTCTTTCTTCTTTCTAGTCCCATCCAGAAACTGGCTGAGGGAAGGGTCGGGGAAGTTGGGTGTGAAGGCTCTGAAATTATCCTATCTCACTTGCTAAAGGCAGCTGCTAGCCGAGCATCCTTGGAGACAAGGAGGTGTTTGGGGATCAAATCAGGACAGCCGAACCTTCAGTCAGACACGGTTGCTGACTGAGCCGATTTTTGGCCTCCCAGGCACCTGAGGCAGCCGACCAATTAGCCATGACTAAGGTTGGGAGCTCTGGTAGCATAGTGGTTAAGACACTTGCCTGCTAACCAGACGGCTGGCGGTTCAAACCCACCAGCCACTCCTCGGAAGGAAGGTTGGGCAATCCTACTTCCGTAGTGATACTGCCTCGGAAACCCAAGGAGGGGTCGCTATGAGTCGGGGCCGACTCGACGGCACATAACAACAACAACAACAACAAAGAGAGATGAGGCTGGCTAAGTAGTGTACCCTGCAGAAGGCTGTCCAGCTAACAAGACCACAGCAGCAGCCACAGCAACACAGAAGATGCCCGCCCGTTTTCCTACACAGCCTGCGTAAATATGCTTGTCGCAAGAATCCTCAGGGAAGACCCTGGCCCCTGGCCCCCGGCCCCCCGGCCATGTGAAGGAAGCCAGCATTAAGTCCCCATCATTCCAAAGGTGTCATCATCTCAAGTTTCTTCAGACACTCAGGCTTGCACCGCTACCTCACTTTCCCCAGGGGTTGACGAGGGAGGAGACGGTGGGGACCACATTTCAGGACATACCACCCAAGGTCACTGTACTGTGGCTCATGCTATTAAAATATGATAAAGTGAGCTTTTCTTGGGCAGCAAAAAATCAGTATGGCTGTTAGAATTTAAGGAGCCCTGGTGGCATAGTGCCTAAAGCATTCTGACTGCTAACCAAGGTTGACTTTTCAAACCCACCAGCCACTCCATGGAAGAAAGATGGGGCAATCTACTTCCATAAAGATTTACTACCTCAGAAACCCAATGGGGGGTGCTATGAGTCAGAATCAACTCAATGGCTATGAGTTTGCTTGTTTTGGGGGGGTTGGTTAAAGTTTGAGGGTCCCATGTGGTTGACACTCCCTGTAAGAATAGAGTCAATATGATAAATTTCATAAAGACAGTATCTTGTCTCTAAAGTTACCTTGCTGGTGAAGGGAGGGAGAAAAACAATATTATATGAGACTTTCATTGTCCAATAATTGTATAAACTGGGAAGAAATCTCATAGAATTCTCCAGTGTTTCCTTTGAGGAAGCACTGACATCCATCAAAAAAGGAGGTTGAAAACTGACGCCAACAGGACTGAACAGAAATCTGCCTCCATCCTCCACCTCGTGGGACTCATCATGAGATGCCCATGCACCCTGAAGGCACCGCATGCATGTTCACATATTGAAGAGGCAAACTACAGGGTGGGGTTAAACACTCAACACCAAGCTTTCTCAGTGCACTGCAGCTACTGGGACATGATTCTCACTAAGCCTCCCAGCACCTTTGCTAATTACTAACTGTTTCAACAGAGACCAGGGGAAAGTGAATACTAACTACAGATATTTCTATACTCATATCCATGCAACAAGCATTTACTGAGCACTTGCTATGTGTCTGAAGCTCAAAGACAAGCCAGAAAATGGACCTGTCCTTCCAAGAAGTTTCTCAAGATTCAGGAAGCAGACCAGAGCTTCGAGCTTTATTTCCACGGCACTAACCTTGGCTTCATGTTCCAAGCCACTGGAAACTTGCATGTTGCTATAATGCTGAATAGGTTTGAGTGGAGCTTCTAGACCAAGATGGACATTAAAAAAAAAAAAACCCACTGTCGTCAAGTTGGACTTGACTCACAGGGACCCTCCTTGGGTTTCCAAGGCAGTATCACTATGGAAGTAGATTGCCCAACCTTCCTTCTGAGGAGTGGCTGGTAGGTTTGAACCGCCAGCCTTCTGGTTAGCAGTCAAATGCCTTAGGCACTGTTCCAAGACAGTCATTGTTACAGAAGTGGAGTGGGGGTTGTGGAAGGAAGGGGATTTAGAGAAAAGAAACAGCTTAGGGCACTAATGGGGAGCTCTGGTAGCATGGTGCCTAAGGCACTTGACTGCCAACCAGAAGGCTGATGGTTCAAACCTACCAGCCACTCCTTGGAAGGAAGATGAGGCAATTTACTTCCATAGTGATACTTCCTCGGAAACCCAAGGAGGGGTCGCTATGAGTCGGGTCCAACTCGACGGCACATAATAACAACAACAACAGGGCACTAATAGACAAGTGCTCAGCTGCTAACTGAAAGACTGGTAGTTCCAATTCACCCAGCTGTGCCTTGGAAGAAGGGCCTGCTGATCTACTTCTGAAAGAACACAGCCATTGAAAACCCAAAGGAGAACAGCTCCACTCTGACACAGATGGGTTGCCGTGAGTTGGAATCAACTGGATGGCAATTGCTTTGGTTTTTAAAGGGGGAAGGTGGGGAACCGGTGGTTCAGTGGTAGAATTCTTGCTTCCCCGTGGGAGACCCAGGTTCAATTCCTGGCCAATGTAGCTCATTCCTAGCCACCACTCATCTGCCAGGGGAGGCCTGCATGTTGCTATGGTGCCGAATACGTTTCAGTGGAGCTTCCAGACTAAGACTAGGAAGAAAGGCCTGGCAATCTGCTTCTAAAAATTAGCCAAAGAAACTTGTGGCTCACAATGGCCCAGTCCACACTAAGTCATGGGGATGGCACATACTGGGCAGCATTTTTTCTGTTGTGCCTGGGGTCCTCATGAGCTGGGGGATAAGTCCATGGCAGCTAGCAACAACAACAAAGCAAAATTATTCCAAAACAGGCGTTCTGGTGGAAATGGACTGGGAATGTGGAGAGAAAGGGACTTAGAGAAAAGATTTGGCTTAGGGGTACATTTGCTCCCCATTCCCCATTTTAGACACGGCTCATACTTTTATAGAATTTTATAATGATATGCCTTAATAACAAACCTTTTGGCTACTTGCTTTGCATTGTGAAAATGAGTGTATTATGCATTTTTTTTTCCAAGCAATTATATTATTTTTTTCTGTGCTCTTTTCTGCCAATCCCTGTAGGAGCTTGAATTAGAAGGCTGAGAAAAAGCCAGGGGTCTCAGTAAACTGAGGACACCTGCTCTACTGCAAAAAGGTGAATGAATCTCTTTCAACTTTGCATGCCTACTTGTCTTGCTTCAAGCCTACATAATAAGTCAGGTTAACGTCCTGGGTGAAGTATTTTGGGGGGTATATTTAAAACAAAGGACAATAATGCACACAGTTTGTAGTTAAAACACATGTAGGGATAAGGTGGAGAGAAATGAACCATGACAGCCGGCCTTTCCTTCACCGACTTCTCATGGTGTCTGAGGACAGCCTGGGGCATGACATTATGCCGACACAGCAAAAGGACCTTTTCTCAGTCATATGCCTCTTTTAAAGCATCCCACATAAATCCTGGAACACAGAAAAGCACAAAGTCATCAAACTGACACATGTAATTTGAAAATAACGTCCCAAATAAATTCACTCACACAAAACGAAAAAGAGGGGACAGAAGTGGGCCATTGATTGATGCCTCAGTTCAATTGCAGCAATACAGGTTGTACCAAGAAAAGTCACGCTGATAACCCCTGGAGAGGGGCTGGAGGGTTGGAGAACAGGAGGAGAGAGACAGTGCTCTGCTCCAACATATTTTGACAAAGATATTCTCATTGTAACAGATACTAGACTTCCTCCTGCTGACACCAAGAGGCCTCAAATCCAGATTAAGGTTTATCTTAGGAAGAGTCAGCTTCAAGAGGGGGCAAGGACGTGGACGGAGTAACAGAAATTTATAAATGCTGACAGGAGAGTAACCAAAAACCAAGACTCATTGCCATCAAGTTGATTCTGACTCACAGTGACCCTATAGGACGGAGCAGGACAGGAGAGTACATTGGTAAAAATCATTTAGGAAAATGATCGACATGATTTTGTAAAGTTGAACACATCCCCACCCTGTGACCCAGCGATCCCACATAAAAAATGTTCATGGCCATTTTGTTCTTAAAAAAAAATAGGAAACAACCCAAATATCCATTATCATGAGAACAGATAAGTACATGGTGATATATCACCGTTGTGGGAAAAGAAAGATCTATAGATACATGGAACAGAATGCATGAGTCTTACAAACAAAATGCTAAGAAAGTAGATAAAGAATTATATAGGATTCTAATAATATAAAGCTCAGACTCTAAATCTAAAAACAACAAAAAAGCCAAACCAAATCTATTGCTTAGGAAACCAAAACCAAACCCAGTGCCATCGACTCGATTCTGACTCGCAGCAACCTCCATTGGGTTTCTGAGGTGGTAAATCTTTACGGAAGTAGATTGCCCCATCTTCCTTCCATGGAGTGGCTGGTGGGTTTGAACAGTCAGGCTTCTGTCAAAGGCAGTCAAATGCCTTAGGCATACCTCTCTATATAACAAAACTATAAAGAAAGCAGGAGCTCTGGTGGTGTAGTGCCTAAGGCATTTGACTGTTCAAACCCACCAGCCACTCCTCCGAAGGAAGACTGGACAATCTACTTCCACAGAGATACTGCCTCGGAAACCCAAGGAGGGATTACTGTGCATTGGAATCAACTCAACAGCAGTGAGGTGTTTTTTTTTTTTTTTTTCCCCCGAGTATAAAGAAAGCAAAGGTCTCTGGGTGGCGCAAATGCTTTGTGCTTCACTACTAACCTAAAGGTTGGCATTTCAAACCCAACTAGTGCACCATGGAAGAAAAGCCTGGCCATCTGCTTCCACAAAGAGTATGGCCAAGACAACCCTGTGGGGCTCAGTTCTACTCTGTGCCACCCGAGGTTGCCAGGAGTCAGAATGCAGTCACTATCCAAGGTGGATCAACAACATTCAGGACTGCAGCTCCTTCTGGGGACTGGAGGTGGGGTGGGATGGGACCTGGGAGGGAGAGCAGCGTCTCAACAGTACTGGCAACGTGTACTTTCTTAACAAGAGTGGTGGGCTTACAGGCATTCATTCTGTTGTTATGCATCAGAACTTCCATATACATCATATATTCTTTCATATGAATCAACTACAATAAGAGAAAAAAAACACCTCAACAGGCTCATTCCACATGCCCTGTCCAAATCCTCAGCCCACTTAACCTAGATCCCGGACTCCCCCTTTCAGCCTCTCCCTTCTCTACACCATCACACACAGCTGTTGGGTTACTCATTTCAAAACCCAGCTCTGTCATGTCACTTCCCTCTCCCAAACCGTCCATGGCTCCTCACTGTTTCTCAAATCAAGTCAAAAGCATGTAACCTGCCACTCACATGTTCCACAAAGCAGCTTTGGTCTTTCTGTATATCACTCTCACGGACAATTCTTACCTTCCAGGCAAACCAGGTGGCTTAACCTTTCCTGGACTCACCTAGAGTATTCCTGTTTGCTTTTGTTCCTGCAAATTCCCTTCAATGGAAAAGCTATTCCCTGCATGGCTAAGTGGAAACTGTGGAATCTTTCAAGGCTGTATCATTTGCTACCTCATCATGAAGACTGTCCTAAGTTCCCAAACCAGACAGCACTTTGCCTCCTCAGGATCCCCGATGTCTTCACATACTGTTCATGGCCCTCGTGTTATGGTCATTTGGTCTATTTGCCTTCATTCATTCATTCCGCAGTTTTTGAGTGCTCACCAGGTACTATCATGTACTGAGATGGGATATGAGTCACAGGGCAATCAGCAAGAGCAATGACAATACACAGAAGAACAATGCTGGGGGAAGGAGTTAGGCAGGTCTTCTAGCCAGAGGGTACAGCAAGCGCAAAGGCCCAGAAGTCAGACAATATGGACATGTGAGAAACTCCAGGTAGTTCTGCATGAAGGCAGAAATGTGGCAGCAAAGTTCCTCAAGGACAGGGCCAGCCCTACTTGTGGCATCCCCTGCAGTGGTAGGGCAGGGTGCTCTGCTTTTAAAGGTACTCTGTATTCAAGTGTACAAGTGTTCCATGTTGAACAAAATCAAAACGCACAATGCAGAATGCATTTTAGTCTCTGCCCACTGTCATTGCCCTGGGCCCCCAAAATCCCACACTGTGGTTGAATATTTCTCAAGAAGGAGAGCAAGTCAGGTTAAGTATTAACAGAGACACCCTCTTTATGGGGAAAAAGTGCCAGCCATCTTGGTAGAAGGTATTGACAGAAAAGCTTTCCTTTTGGGAAATTCCCACATATAAACACCTTGCTAATTGAATGCTTAATTTACACTGAGACACTTGTGGGGAACAGTGGGTAGTTGACTTAGAGGTGAGAAATAAAGAATAATTTAGAATCAAATTTGGGTGTTTGTGAACAGAAGCTCAGTTGAGAAGCAAGATGAAACATCACAAAAGTCATAAGATGTATCAGTGGGAAAGGAATACTGTTCTTACGCCATTTCCTTTCCTGTTGTGTAAAGTAGGGCCCCCAATAATATGTGTTCTCAGCATGATGTCAACAATAAACAGTTCTTGTCGAAATGGAAAATGTTCTGTTACATACATATTTACCACAACAGAAAAAAAATCAACCTAAAAAAAGAAGAAAGAAATGGCACAACCATGGCTATTCATAAGATATTTATGATCAAAAGTTATGATGAGATTATGTTAACATTGTAGTAAACATTTCAATATGGAGCTTTTTCATTTAGATCATTTCCCCTGCATTCTCTAATTTAAGATTCTTGTTCACTTCCATGCTATCTGCTGGTTACCTGTGTACCAGTGGACCAGAGGAGAAATGACATTCTTTTGGATTTCTATTTTAATTTCTAATTAAGATTCATATCAGAGTGTGATTGATGCTAGCTAGCTCGGGTCTAATGTCTTTGAGGCAGTGGACCGATGGGGTATGTGCTGATATGCATGTCCTTCTTAGTTATTACTGAAATACCCAGATCATTTAGGCAATCAACCAGCCAAGAAAATGTGGCCCAAGAGAAAACTAAGATAGAGTGCTAGGACTGACAGAAGGAAAAAAAAAAAAAAAAGAAGAAGTTAAGCAGAGTTTGGAGAGGTGTCCCCTTACTGGTAAAATCAGCAGGTGATAACCAGCAGGGGCATCTGTCAGTCCTCATGGGCTGTGTATCATCCACAGAGTATAGGATGAGATTCACCAACTCCATCAGAAGACTGGAAAGGAGGGGAGTTTGTTTGGCTGTGACAGTGGAGGTCTGGTGAGTAAATGCCAGCAGTTCCAGGCTTACGGACACAGAAGATGCAGCAAAATATCTGGGGAGGGATGTAGTCTAATCCCCAAACACATTGGCCTTTCTTCTTCCCAGGAAAAAGGACGTTCTGCAGCCTGGCAGAGGGTCTCAGCTAAGATCTCATTTGACAACTCCAGACTCCAAAACCAAGATGGACAAGCTTGCAAGGAAGAGAAGTCATTGTATTTGCGTGTGTATCTCAACTTGATGGGAGCTTTGGTAGCATAATGCCTAAGGCATTTGATTGCTAACCACCAGCCACTCCTCAGAAGGAAGGTTCAGCAATCTATTTCATAGAGATACTGCCTCAGAAACCCAAGGAGGGGTTGCTATGAGTCGGGTCTGACTCCAGGGCAGTGAGTTTGGTTGGTTTTTCTCAACTTGATGAATGTGGATGCTCACCTCCTCCCAGAGAAGTAATTCTTGTGTATAATTAAACATGGAAATGCTATGTTTTCCAATCAACAGCAAATCAGTCCTTTATACTCTGAATATCATTATGCAGAAGGTGATTTCCCTGCAAATTGCTTTTTTCTAGTTGCATTTTAATACACCATCTCATAAGATTATGTTGACGAAAAGATAAGGGCTGGGAAAGTCCGAGATAAGGGCTGGGAAAGTCCAACGTGGATCCCAAGCTTACCATGAGCCCTCCAGGTAGGCGTTGAGGCCTCTGCGAATCACATGGCCCAAGTAGCCATTTTTCTCAGCTACGTGCTTTGCCCATCTGAAAAGGAAAGGAAAAAGAAAGTATCCCAACTGTGACAAATTAAATAATTGCCCTTTTCTTCATATGATCTCCATAAATCCCACCTGGGGACTATTTTGCTTGCAGAGCTGAATGTTAAGAAGGTAAAGCAAGATGTGTTTTGAGAGCTTTACATTCAGTTCCTTTTCTTGTGAAAGCTTAACCAAAGCAAAAATCCCAACCCACTGCCATGCAGTCGATTCCGACTCACAGCGACTCCCATGTGGTTCCCAAGGCTATAAACCTTTATGGAAGTAGATTGCCTCATCTTCCTCCCGTGGAGCAGCTGGTGGGTTTGAACTGCCAACTTTCTGGTTAGCAGACAAATGCTTTACCCACCATGCCACCAGAGCTCCTTTTGTGAAGGCTTAAAAGTTGTCATGTGAAGGCAAAGAGTAGGTACAGAATATATTGAAAAATAACCATCGAGATGGAAAAATACACTCTTCCCATGAATTCTAATACTCTCTACATTAAACCGTGTTACTAATTTCTTACAAAGTTCCATCTGTTTTGTTTCTGTCCCCTAACTTATCCCAGAGGTATTTGCTAATCATGAGCTAGCCTGCTATGATCTTTGGATTTATGACCACTGAAAGAACAGTGTCACAATATATAACTAATGAGCTAATAAACGAGAGAAAGAGAACGATTTCTAAAAACATTTCGCTAATACAAAAGATGAGCAAGAAGGAGAAAAACAGAACAAAGAACAGACAGAACAACTGGAAAATAAACAGTAAGGTGGTATATTTAAAACTAAAGGCATCTATAATTACATTAAGAGTAAATGGACTAAATACCTCAATTAAAAGACAAAAAATTGTCTCTTGTAGTGGGAGATTTTAACACACCTCAATAAATTTCAGACTATGTTAATAGTCACAACAAATATTCTATTCAATGATAAAAAGCCTCAAGTCAGTTCAAGTCAAGTTTTACCACTAAGTTCAGGTCAGTCTGGGGTTTGCTACCAAATGTCTCATGAAAAGCAACTTTTGGGAGAGGCATACTACAGGTGTAAAGGTGATCTAAAGCAGAAGTATACAACTGTTTTTTTCTCTAAAGGGCTTGACAGTAAATACTTTAAGCTTGTGGGCCACATATGGTCTCTGTTGCATATTGGTTTTGTTTGTTTGTTTGTCTACTCCCCTTAAGCATGCAAAGTCTCTGGGTGATGCAAATGGCTACTACACTCAGCTGCTAACCAAAAGGTTGGAGGTTCAAGTCCACCCAAAGGCACCTGGGAAGGACTGGTGATCTATTTCCAAAAAAACAGTCATTGAAACCTATGGGACATAGCTGTACTTTGACACACATGGAGTTGCCATGAACCAGAATGGACTCCATGGCAACTGGTTTGTCTTTGCTTAAAAAAGTAAAAACCATTCTTAGCTCCTGGGGCCATACAAAACAGCCAGCAGGTCACATTTAGTTGATGGGCCATAATTTGCCAACCCCTGTAAGATATATTCAAAAAGGCAGGGCCTTAAAAATGTGCGAGGAGGTCACCATTCTTCAGGCAGCTACTGTCTGATGAGCTCTGGCAAAATGTAGAGTTATGCAGAAAGAGGAGCAACAGGAGAACCAATTCAGGTCAGAGATGAAGGGGAAAGACCCCTGACAATATGATGAAGTTAATCCCAGCATGACAGCTTTGTCCTGGACAGAGAACGACTCCACAAGAGAAGCCTCCAGGAAGATTACATCAATAGAATACCAGATGGGTATGAACATACTGAGAGGAGATTCTGTAACTGGAGGAGAATTTAGTCAAGTAAATAGAAAAGGATAAGTACATGGAGAGCTAATCAAATAAACCATAAAAATATATCATTCTATAAAGAATAAGAAAGAAAAAGTAGCCATAGCATTCTACAAAGCTCAGCTGGGAAGAGCATTTACATAGTTCTAATAAAGTAATAAAGTAAACTTTGATGCCAATTTAACCAAGAGTATGACATGGTTACTGGGAAGATGAGAGGGAGGTGTTGTTGTTGTTGTTATGTGCCGTGGAGTTGGACCCAACTCATAGCGACCCCTCCTTGGGTTTCTGACGCAGTAACACTACGGAAGTAGATTGCACCATCTTCCTTCCGAGGAGTGGCTGGTGGGTTTGAACCTCCAGCCTTCTGGTTAGCAGTCAAGTGCCTTAGGCACTATGCTACCAGAGCTTCTGAAAGGCAGGTAGGAGTATAAAGGTATGGTAGTAAACAGAAAGAAAAAAACAAAACAAAAAAACCTAAATCCACTGCTGCTGAGTCAATTCTAATTCACTGACCCCCACAGGACAGGGTAGAATTGCCCTGTAGGGTTTCTCTGCCTGTAATCTTTGCAGAAGCAGACTGCCACATCTTTTTTCCATGGAGCGGCCAGTGGGTTTGAATGGCCACCAGGGAACCCCGTGTGTGGCAGTAGGAGGTGGCAAAATGACAACAAAACATCTTCTGCAGTGGGACCTCATTACACAATGCTCCCTGGTTGGCAGTCTGTGCTCAACTACCAGGTGAAGGGATGGAGGCTTGAACTCGCCCAGCAGGGCCCCGGAAGAGAGGTCTGGGGTCTGCTTTCACAGATTGTTGTTGTGAGGTGCCATGGAGTTGATTCTTGACTCGTAATGACACCATATGACAAAGTAGAACTGCCCCCAGAGGTTTTAAAGCCTGTCCTCTTCATATGGGATCAGACTGCCAGGACTTTTCTCCTGTGGAGCTGCTGTGTGGGTTTGAACTGCCAGTCTTTCAGTTATGCAGTTAGCAGCCAAGCACTTAACCACTGCACCACCACTGCTCCTTTCGTAAAGACTACAGCCAAGAAAACCCTATGGAACTCATTTCTACTCCCTAATACATGGGCTTGCCATGAGTTAGAATTGACTCAACAGTAATGGGTTTTTGGTGTGATGAAAATAACAAGAAATAGTCATTAAAAGTAGTATTTAAAGATAGAGGTAAATACATAAGAAATAATTGAAAGGCTGAAAGTGATTTTACTCTAACCAATAAAACCACTGCCATCAAGTTGACTCTGACTCATAGGGACCCTATAGGACAGAGCAGAACTTTAAGGAAGAACTCTACATTTTAAACAAGATCTGTAACAATCACCTGGAGATCTCATTAAAATGGAGATTCTAGTCAAT